TGGAGCAGTTCGCCAAGGACCTCAAGCACAAGCGCATCATGCTGGGCTTCACCCAGGCTGACGTGGGGCTGGCTCTGGGCACCCTCTACGGTAAGGGTCCTCATCTCCTCCCTACACCTGAGGGGAAGCGGGATGGAGCAGCTGGGCAGTGGAGGGTTCTGCTCCTTAACGACCTGCAAAGGGAGTGACGGGCTCCAGCCCTGCTTAAGTACTCGCTCAAGCTGCAAGGGCTTGATAACAAGGAACTGGTTTAAAATAGCTACAGCTGCTTAGTGAAGAGTGTTTCAGTGCTTTAAATCCCTGCTGAAGCAGCGGGGAGAATGCCTCTCCTGATCCCCCATCACCGGGGGGTCTGGGGGGCTGCTGGAGGTGGGAGAGCCCCAGCGCAGGGGCAGGAGTGACACCCTGCTTGCCCACGTAGGGAAGATGTTCAGCCAGACGACCATCTGCCGCTTCGAAGCGCTCCAGCTCAGCTTCAAGAACATGTGCAAGCTGAAGCCGCTGCTTCAGCGTTGGCTGAACGAGGCAGAGAACACGGACAACATGCAAGAGGTACAGGGCTGGGAGCTGGGGGGACTGCACATGGAGGAAGCATCAAGCTGCAGCTTCTCGTCTGTTTTACTCGTGCTTTGTGGGAGAGAGGAGGGCAGCAGCAGCTCTCTTGTGCCACAGCAGCATCTTGCTGCCATGGCTTCAGACCGACTGGGGGGAGAAATGCTGGGTGTCTTCTCCCAGGCTGGGTGGAGCCCAAATGCCCCTGCAGATGCCTTGTGAGCGAGTGGGGCAGCTCGCTCTCAGAGCAGCCAGGTCCTGCTGGAGGCTGAGATGAGCGGGTGGTGCAGGTTGTGCTCCCTGGGGAGCCCGGAGGGATGCAGGTAGATGTGTCCACACCCCTTGCACCAGGTACAGGCAATGCTGGGACACTGCCAATGGCCCCAGTTGCAGTGGGGTGACATTCGATGGACAGTCGCAGGGACAAAGCCTGTTCCCATCCCTTGAAATGCTCTGCAGCCAGCCGCGTGCGTGTTCAGAGCCTGGATGGGGACACTGCTAGCCCTGTGACCAAGCATGTGGCTTCTCTCCTTTCCAGATGTGCAATGCCGAGCAAGTGTTGGCCCAAGCCCGGAAGAGAAAACGCAGGACCAGCATCGAGACCAACGTGAAGGGGACACTGGAGAGCTTCTTCCGCAAGTGTGTGAAACCCAGTCCCCAGGAGATCTCTCAGATCGCCGAAGACCTCAACCTGGACAAAGACGTAGGTTGAGAGGGTTTGCAAGGGGGTGCCCAAACGGCTGCGGTTCCTTAGAACCCGCGTCAGGCCGGTGCAATACTGGTAGCTGTGGGAGAGCGGCTGGGACATGTAGCCACCGTGGGCCTGTCTGAGCCCAGCCCCGGGCGGGTGCTGTGGTGGGGCGGGTGCTGTACAGCTGCCACCAGAAGCAGCTCTGCTTGCGATCCGCAGAGTGCCTGGGCTTGCCCCCTCACCCTTCCACATCTTCCCTCCCGTGCAGGTGGTCCGGGTCTGGTTCTGCAACCGGCGTCAGAAAGGCAAACGGCTGCTGCTGCCCTTCGGCAACGAGGCGGAGGGGGTGATGTACGACATGAACCAGTCCCTGGTGCCCACCGGCCTGCCCATGCCAGTGACGTCCCAGGGCTACAGC